TTTTTTTTTTTGGTTTTTCTCCAGTACCAGGAACTGAACTCACGACCTTGCGCTTGCCAGGCAGGCGCTTTTGCCGCTGAGCTAAATCCCCAGCCCCTTCCTAGTACCTCTTGAGAAAAAACATCTGTAATCAGGAAATGTGACTTTCCTGGAGCTTTGACAGTATCCCTTATTTCTGCTAGTGAACAGTTTCCAGGTCTGGGAGTGTTAAAGGAGAATTCTATCAAGCTGGAATTTCGAGCCTGTGATCAGTGCAGATTTTGGGAAAGGTTGTTTGTGACGCTCTGTTCTTCCGGATGTTAGAGCAGGCCAGTGGTAATGCTTCACAGACAGCCCTGGGACCATGGCAAAGGGCAGATGCTGCAGGCAAATCACGTGCAAGATGTCTGCATTCTCTGATGTGCGGTTGAATAAATGAACAGAGCGTGGCTCCCTCAGAGACTCACATTGTGTCAGTCCGTGGTGATGGGGGAAGGCTGCCCTGGCTTCGAGCCCAACTCTGATAAGTAGATATGGCAAAATGCTTCACTTTTTAGCCTCAATATTTCTATCTTTATGAAATAAAGTTGTTAGGAATCCTTTTAGCATTCCAGGATCTTGCCAAAGAATTTGGGGTGAGTCCATACCTCGGTTGCATTAATAATGCGGTATTTTTGTTTCAGATAATTGAAGACTGTGTCTGCCATGCCAGGCCTAAATGTTTGTAGATACTGATACGCTGTATTTTTGGCTCATAAAATGTACTTATTTATTTGGGTCTTGTTTCTTGGGTAACACTTTTCACCTTTTAAAGTACTGAGTTTTAGCCAGGCATGGTGGCGCACACCTGTAATCCCAGCACTCGGGAGGCTGAGGCAGAAGGATTGCTTCAAGTTTGAGGCCAGCCTGGGCTACAAAGTGAGCTCAAGGCCAGCCTGAGCTGCATAGTGAGACCCTGTCTCAAAAAGACAAAAAACAAACAAACAAACAAAACCAAGACAAATGTGGAAAAAGTTAAGACGCTTTCTAAAACTCAGTACTTTTTTTCTTGTCTTTTTGAGACAGGGTCTCCCTATGCAGTTCAGCCTGGCCTTGAGCTCACTTTGTAGTCCAGGCTGACCTCGAACTCACAACCATCCTCCTGCCTCAGCCTCCCGAGTGCTGGGATTATGGGTGTGCACTACCACACCTGGCTTCTGCATTTGTCTTTTTTTTTGGTTTTTTTTTTTGGTACTGGGAACCAAACTCACGACCTTGCGCTTGCCAGGCAGGCGCTTTGCCGCTGAGCTAAATCCCCAGCCCCTGCATTTGTCTTAATATAACTGATCAGTCTTAGATCTCCACTTCTGTATGACTCGGGCAAAGATGAGTTTGTTCATGAAATCTACAGCCTGGTAGCAAAGAAGACACTTATTAGGTGCAACCCATGGGAGGCAGGGGGCTGGACTGTCAGATGCTTTATCTAGAAGTCACAAAATTTGAATTCACTTTCTCATCTACTGTTATCTTCCAGATCTCTAGTCCCAAATGATAGTCCTTAAGAAAGAAGTCTATAGTCAAATAACTTACAAAGGAACTATGCTTTTAGCCCTATGGCATGTAGAAAGCTTTTGGTAATAAATTGTAGGAACTCTGCTTCAAACCAATTCAACAAGGAGAGAGATTTGTGTCCTGTAACTGGACTTGTGAGGGACAGGCGGAGAAGGCTCAGCATTGGTGACATATGGTGGCCCACACCTGTCATCCAGCACTCCGGGGAACAGCAGGAGGATCCCAAGTTTCAGTCCAACTTAGACAACTTGGCAATTTAGCAAGACCTTGTCTCAAAATTAAAAAAAAAAATTAAAAATATAGCTCAGTGTAATATAGCTCAGTGTAAAGGCCCTGGATACAATCTCTAGTAAAAAAAAAAAATCAGTATTATCAAAGACTCACTTTCATTCAGTTGGATAACACAGATCGAGAATATGTGCTCTGATTAAACGTAAAAATAATAAACCTGCACCCCTACCAGAGGCTTCCCATTATTCTTTCCCAAATGCACTGCTCACTGTCTTAGTTACTTTCCTCTCGTTGCTGAGACAAAATACCTGACGCTCAAAATTAAGGAAGGAAAGGTTTATTTAGCTCACAGTTTATAGAGGTTTCAGTCCATAATCAGCCTGGCTCCAAGGCAGGGTGGCACATGGCAGAGGGCAGCAGTTCATGGTGGCAGAAGACAGCAAAAGCAGCAAGAGCAAAAGGGAGGAGTGGTGGTAAGCAGCCTCTTTCCCTCCCTTACATTGTGTGCAGGCTAATTGCCCCAGGGCAGGTGTGGCACTCACACCCATAATTCCAACATTGGACCATGAATCAATCATAAACTCTAGAAACCTGCCCCATGACTGCAAGAGGCTTTGGGGGGACATTCGGATGCAGCCCATAACACTCACCTTTCCCACAGACAGCACTTCTGAGTGAAGGATTTACCCCACCTGGAGACTTAGCCCTCTGTTGCTGATGTGGGATTATAACTGGGACATCGTTATTGTGATGCACTCCCTTGAAGAGGCGGCAGTATTGGGCCCTCACCTCTGCCCTGTTTGCTCCGATCCTGTGGATGGAAATGGTGTTTGTACTTCCCCACCAGACCACAAGCTTGAGGACAGGGCTTCCTTTTCACCTAGTTCCCAAGGGCCAGCCATAAGATTAGCTGCTAATTTATATTTCATTCTTAAAATTGAATTTTATATCTAAAAGTGGAGGCTATGAGCTGG